AAGTGTTATCGCTAAATAAATGTATGGAAATGTGTGATATCCATGAGGGATGGATAATGCAGTGGTAGACCTCACGCTATAGTGTGGTAGACCTCATGCTATAGTAGCACCCCTTTTTCTTCCACCTGATTTTGCCGTGTCCTCCTATGCCCCTACTACAGAATCAGCTAGGCGTAATACAGCTTTTTTTTTATTTGATTTTTCTGTGGCAAGTGGTGCCTGTCCAGGTATGCTTAAACTAGTCAAATCCACACTGTCAGGCCATGATGGCATAATATTTATAATTTTCATGGCCACTAAATGCACACTGTTAAGATGGGGTGTTCCACAAGATCACTTATAGGTTTTTCCTTGCGATACATATTTGCTTCATTAATATACTCATTCTGGATTGTACTCCTTCACACGCTTCATAGGTAAAGCAGAACGTAATAGCTACCCATATATGCCATTCCTTAGATTGAATAAATCAGGAGTGGTTTGCTTTTCAAAATAGGGTTTTCATGGTCACCCATCTTCTGGACTTTTCACCACCTTTTTCTTCCAGTGGAGTCCTTACCACTTTCCAGTTCCAAGCTGCTGGGGTGGTGGACTATGGAGGTATCCTCCTGAATTTGATATTGATATACGATACAAACAATAATGAATCTATTCAGTTGAGAGTAGGGCAGTGATGTTCTGTTTGTGTATATGATGAGATGTCCTCTAATCTGACACTCCATGTCTGAACAGTTTTGTCTGAGGAGATGTTGTAACTTTGGAGTGAGCTGTCAAAATTGCAGTTCACTCCTTCGATTGGGATCCCTTATCCTACCCCCACATGGATATCAGTTCCCAGTGGCTATGTTTTAGATTCAAAACTGGACCAATCAGCATAATCCCTCACACACATGTTGCAGGTGTCTCTGTTCCCTCACTCAATTGGACTCATGTTCACTGCTACCATGTTATGGGTCATGGTGGAGGAACTTGCAGGTTACAATGGTTCTTCCTCTTGCGCTATCCCTTGAAGATTTTAATATACCAAGGATGTTACTGCACTGGGAGTTGTTCCTGTCTGATTGGTTTTGAGTGGGCTATAGCACAATACAGACATCTTTATTATTCCAATCATTTGGATGTCATGTTCCCAGATCAGTTCAACATTTTCTCACTTTGCCATCATGTGTCCTGTTCACAGATCAGTGGATATCATATATCCCTTCGGTCTGCCGAACTTGAGGTGAAGATGGTATGATTCTCTTTCCTACCCCCACTAGATGGCTGGGTTTTTGATTGTAGTTGACTTACTACTGGTATGATCCTCTTTCTTATCCTCACATGGATGTCAGTTCATGGTGGCTGGGTTTTGGATTGCAGGCAATTTACCGACGGTATGATCCTCATCCAACCCATGCATGGATGTTGGTTCCAGTGGCTGAGTTTTGGATGAAGTTGACTTACCTTGTATGATCCATTGTGCCCTAGACACTCTACACCTTAGGGCACATCATTTGTACTCTCACCCACATTACTGTCATCTAAGGGATTGAGGTTCAGAATCGGGTGATCCAGATCCCTATCCAACTACTGTTCTCTCACTTTTGGATGTGCTCCTCCCATTTTTTGCCAGTGTCTGTGTCACCACTTTCCACACTGGTCAAAGAGTATACCTGGTACAGAAGTTTGTAATTTCCCATGTATGATCCTATTCTGCAAGGATCTCCCCTTTTAGGGTGTTCTTTAGACAATTTCGAAGAATGCTTCTTTCTTTCCCTTGCATTGATCCCTCCACCTATCCAATATGGAATTCTAGCTATTTATATGAGTGGGGGTAATGTTCTGTATTGGAAGTTATAGTTTTCCTATACTGAAAATGTATTTCCAATAGGTACTTACCTCCTCTCACACTTCCCACCCTTCCTCAAAACTGAAAACTGGTGCTTCAATTTTCTGTCAATACTTGAAGTAATAGTTTGGTAGAATCAAATAGAAGAAGTCACATGTGTCAACAGGGGTGGGTTGCATTACTACTGGTGGAGGGTTGTTGCATGATGATTTACATGCGAGACACAGTTAAAACATGTTGAACGTGGGGTATACTCAAGGCTTGTGGCATGCAAAAAAAATGTTGTCATATAAAGAGGAACACTGAATGAGAATAACTATATATATATATCAGAGGAGGCAAGTTCCTATTGGAAATACATTTTCAGTATAAGAAAATTATAACTTTTCTCTCTATACAAATCACTAGTTTTGCGTCACTTGGAATTTCTGTGTGTACTTTAGGATATTTACTTATTGGAAAGGGTTCAATGAAGGGCTACTAGGATGATTCCAGAGATGAGCTATTTTACAAAAATAGGCTAAGATTTTGCAACTTGTTTTACTCTGGAAGTTTGAAAGTTTATGCAAGGAATTTATATTATTAAGGCCTCTAGTTTCTTTGAGCTGTATTCTGAAGATAATAGAATGATAGGGTACAAATATGAGATTTGGAAAACATAGGCTAAGCTCTAGTTAATCATATGTGCGTGGGTGGGGATCAAAGAGTGCATGCTTCGATCTTCTACAGAGTACCTTACAATATGGTGTTATACATTTGATGTCAGAGTTGTCAATGCTTTGTGTTACTCAACATTGATGATCTCATGAAAGTTTTGTGCTAAGAATAAATTAAGTATTAGATACAATATATATAGGAATATAGAAAAAAATTGTAAGTATGATTTTTGGAGGTTCCAGTGGCAATGCAGATGCAAAACACAAACTGTACAATAGACAAAAGTATTTTTATTCTTCACCTGAATATCACCTTGCATAAGTCTTGTCACAGCCTGAATCTTACTGACTTCAGTATTTCACAAATATATTTTTAGAGCAAAAGTTTCAGTAAAACATCTGATTTTTTTCTGTACAACAAACTTGTACTGTTAACCACAAATTTGTGACATTTCCTGAAGATACACTTTGTAAATTTAGATCTATAGTCATTGTTACTCCTCCACTACATTCAGCTAAGATGACATTATTTTCTTAATAGTGTAATTGATTTATGTCATGAGTTGCTGTTGACAGTAATGGAGGCCATTATTTTACAAGTGGGGAATCAAGGAATTCCTAAAAAATGAAGTGTGAATTAAATTTTTGCTAATCTAAGGGTTCTGTATACACAGACAGCCTTGAAAGACCAAGAGGCCCCTTGTAGGCACTGATGCTATAATCCTGTGAAATTCAATAAGACTATTTCTTATTTTTCTTTTTTCAAAAGATATAAGTTGACATGTATATCTGCCTTTACAAGATAGTCCTTTCTTTCATCTCTAGGATTTTTCTAGTAGCCTTTTTTCTGATTCTTTATCAGAAATTCATTATCTTTTCTTAGAGAAGAAGACCAAAATTGTACTTAATAATAATAATTTCCTATATGATTACTTACCTTAACTCAACTGCTCTCAAGTGCACAAATTTTTGCTCGCTACTAGCCTTGAACTCTCACCTAATTCCATGTATTGGTTTATTATTGGTCTTCTTTTAATTTTCTATTTCTTTTTGATTATCTTTCAATTTTCTATTTCTTTATTCTATTTTTCAATTCCCTTCTTTCTGGTATTTTAATTTCTTATCATGTTTTTTTTGTTCCTCTTTAAATTTTCTGTCTCATTTGTTTTGACCTGTTTTAATAATTTCATCATCATTTCAAGTTACACTTGACTCTCTGTACTCGTAGTCATCATTTTATACAGTTGAAATCTAGTGAAAGTTCTTTATTTTCACCAAACTAATATCCTGCTTCTGACACCAGTGTAAATAGTGTAGTTTTTTTCATTGGTGAGTTTGTTAAATTATCTCATGAAAATAATTCAACATCCATTCCATGTAATCATAATAAATTACTTTATTTCCTCCTTTAATATTTCTACAAATTCTAACACTGGTATACTTCTGTAAATTGCTGTAATGACATTAAATAATGTAAAGCAAACCATCTTACTCATATGAAGTAACTATATTGAAATCACTATCTTCACAGTTATCTCATATTTATAATCCATCTTCAAAAGTACCAGAACACTAAGTCACATCCATAAAGTAACTAAGTTTGTCTTATTTAAACCTTTTGATCTGAATGTTATCGATAAAACCTGCAGCAACATTTAAATTACAATATTAAAAATATATCTTGTAACACTACATACACCATATTAAATTATAAAATTAATTAAAATGTTTTTCATTTAATGTCAAATTCTTGAAGGTATTGTGAATTGCACAATAAAGGTACAGATAATTAATTTATTTTCCCCATTTTCTTGTAGACATTTTATCCAGTTCATAGTACTTAATCATTTGGGATTCCATCCACCTTGTTTTGAGATCTTGTAATTTTTTTAGAGTTATTCACTTGTAATCTGAAAAATAAGCATATCTGCATTCAGTTGTTAAATAAGGTTATCTGAAAGTGTAAAATCAGAAAATTATTCATTTTTAAAAAGACCAGAATCTCTGGTAGAAACAGAGGGTTGTTTCTTTGAAAAATATCTACTAATCTTAATGAAACAATGCATCTAATCTTCACAAGTAAGAACAACATACTTAATTAGATATACTCATTACTGGATTGAACATTGGCTTTGATCAAAGTATGTAACTGTGATTGAAGTTAATAGCTATCCATCTATATGTATGTGAAAAGATATGTATATCTATTTAGTAATATGTGAACAAAATGTATATAAGCTAATACTGCAATGAAACATTTCAAAAGGCAACAGATTTTCTCAGTTTTTATCTAAATTGTATCATGATTTAATGTTTCTTATTAGTATAGATACATTGGATTGTTTCTATTTATCAGAGTTGGATTTTGTTTTCTGGTATTGTAGAAATGACCCAGGGTTTACTGAGGTACACTGCATGTCTGGACCAACTAACTTTGTATCCTGCATCTGCACTCTTCCACCCAGTGATCAGCATCCTTTTGGGTTCATCCTTGTTGGGAGCAATGACTGTTCTATTTATTGTTTTAGTTTGGACTCTCCAGAACCTATCTACAAATTACTAGGACACAGTGGGACAGGTTAGAATGTAATCATTCTTTAATTTACATTTTTATTAAAAGTTATGTCTGTCAGTAGAAAATTTTAATCAACAAATTGAAAGTTCTCAGTCTCTTATTCATAAATTTCTATTCATACTATGTTACACATATGCACGTTACTTAAAAATCTTAACATTTTTCTCATGGTACTAATAAATTGTCTTTATTTCAAGAATGTGGGCCTTAATTATTTTTAATATTTTTTTAATTAAAATTAATAAAAGACATTTCCAATAAAATTCTATGTTAAAAAAGAAGCATGATTCAACAAGTAAATAAATGAGTCGATGAAATTGATACTTAACACTCTTTTCAAGTAAAATTACAATTAGAAAATTAATAATTTTAATATAATTTTGTAGATATGAATGATTAGTGGCATTTGATAATTGACACTTCAGTTAACCAATTGGTAGTGTCTTCCTCAAACCATGGTATGTAGAAATAAAAAGAAAATTCCCTCTAGTTAGCTGTTCAAAATTAGTGGCAGTGACTTATAGCCTGATTAGCTGTGCAATAACAAAGACAGAGCAAATAACTTTGGTGACAAAGCAATCAAACCCAAGTCCCTTGAATCACCTAATGTGAACAAACTTGAAGTAAATAAAAACAACTTATAAGGCTAAAATTTGCAAGAGCAGAGACAGGCATTTAAGTAGCTTTGTGTTTAACAGCAAACAAACATATAATGGCAATATTTTGATTACTTGGATAGTTGGAATAACTGAAGATGGTAATAATTGGATACGCTAACATGGATGAGCTGATTATTTTCATGATAATTGATTTAATGTTAATTTTGATTAATCAATTTTAAAGCAATTTCAATTAATTGATTAGTATATGTGATACTAATAAATGTAATTACTGCTCATAGGTAATCAGTTAAATTGATAAGTAATTGAATTGCTGAGATGTAGTTTTGAATGAAGCATATTAACAAAAATATAGCTTAAGAACTTTGTTCAAAATGTGCTCTTTGCCCACTGGAGTTTTTGCAGCTGTTTTGAATTACCAGATTTCTCACATCTGTGGCTAATGTAATAGTACTTTGGTTAGCAAATGATGAAGAGTGTGATTACCCAAAGTTTTTTTTTTATGACTGAGTTTAAAAAGACTTCACTATTTGCTTACAAAGATGAATAACAACTTATATGAATAATTCTAATATAAGCTAGTGAAAAAGTGTCAATGTAGGTGTTAACAGTGGCACTATGGGCAACATATTTTGTACATAAGTATCTGGATCTTTAAGAATTTCGAACCATATGTCATTGAATTGCTACCAGGGTGGTTAAGTGAGAAAGGACCAAGTAACTTGGAGCTTTGAAGGAAGGAGCTTCATGGAAGGAAACAGCAGAGTGCTAAAGACAGCAACGGGCTTTGAAACCATACGCAAGTTCAAACAAAACTTTAACTGCTGGAGGTGGAAATAGAGCCATCTGGTTCAAAAAACATTTATCAGAAAAAACAAAACATTTAGGAATTAACAAAGGCTCACTCAAACGAAAAGTTGATAAGCATTCAACCATATTACAAAATTTTGGCTATTTCATAAAAAAAAAAGGGAAACTGAAGTGTTTTAAGAAAGTTTTTCATGATGTATAGTCTAAGACCAACCTAACTAGCCTTTGACGAAAAAATTTGTCTCAAGTCTTATTCAGGCTATAGCTAGCTATGAGTAATTGTTTTTGCTCTTTCACATTATGGATTGAAGTTTCCTTAACATGTTTGTTGGTTTTATTGTATTTTTAATTTTTCTAAAATGTCTATGTAGTAAACACTGATTAGAGTGTTTTCTGTTGTGCAGAAGTGCATTTTTACTGAGAACTATTTGTCATAAAATAGGGATACTTAAATCATTGCATGTAAAAAGGAAATTTTTTTTTATTCCATATCATGAAATTTCAGTTTGTGCTTTGGCTGCTGGAAAGTTTGGTACTATAGTAAGTGGCTCATGGGATAAGACTGCAAGAGTCTGGCTGGGACAGAAGTGTATGATGACGTTAGAGGGACATCAGGCAGCAGTTTGGGCTGTCCAGGTTCTTCCTGAACAAGGTTTGATTTTGACTGGTTCTGCAGACAAAACTGTACGCATGTGGAGAGCTGGAAAATGTGAAAAAGTTTTTAGTGGTAGGATGATGTTTTAGTAATAAAACTGTTTTATATTATCTAAAAGTGGAATATTATTTTACCAGAGTATTAATGAATCATTATGTCTCTGAAGTCATGTTGCAATTTTGTTAAAGATGTGAACATCTGGTAAAGTGAACTTACCGTATTTTCCGGTGTATAAGACACACTTTTTACCCCAAAATTTGATGTCAAAATCTGCTTGCATCCTATACACCAAAGGTATGAATAATATATATGTATATATATACGATATACACAAGCCATGTGTAAATATATTTAAATAGGCATGCATAGATTAGTTCAATTGAATGTGTTATTTATAACAATAGTAGTTTTTTATTTGAAAACATAACTATTTATAATGCTCCCTAAAAAAAAAAATTACAGTGAAAGCAATGAAGATTTTGTAGGTTTTGAACCAAACTAAATAACAGTAAAACCTTCTTTTGATTTACGGTATTTTCTTGTTTTTAGCTCTTTTGTGTTTAGAACAATATATACTAATTTTTAAAGCATCAAATTGAGTTTTTGTTCAATAAAAATCTTTCAAATGCGACTGTAGCTTTTTTTCCCCCAAAACTTTGTCTTCAAAACAAGGGTGCGTCTTATATTCCAAAAAATATGGTATATTTCCTAGAATAATTTAATAAAGTTGTATGTATTGTGATCTTTTGTGCAGTTTTCATTTGTAAAGGATTTTATTCCATTGTTTCTGTATTTGCCTACTCAATTGTTTTTAATTTTATCAATGAAAATATTGTTTTTAAAGGACATGAAGATTGTGTGCGAGGATTAGCAGCATTTTCCCCTTTAGAATTTTTGTCATGTTCCAATGATGCTACCATAAGACATTGGCGAATAACAGGAGAATGCCTGAAGGTGTACTATGGTCATAGTAATTACATCTATAGCATTTCTGTGCTGCCAGACGCTGATGGATTTGTTTCTTGTGGAGAGGACAGAACAGTACGTGTATGGTCTAATGGAGAATGTGTGCAAACTTTAGCCATACCTGCTCAGTCTGCATGGTCCGTCACTTGTCTTTCAAATGGAGATTTTGTGGTTGGTACCAGGTAAAGAAAATGTTTAATTCTAATTAGGGTGATAATTCAACTTTTATTTTTAGTCAAGCCTCACTTTAAAATTGTTGGTTGTACAATTATTTATTCAACAGGCAAAATTGGAACTGATTGGCCAAAATAATTTTGTTTAAAGCAAATGAACTAAGACCTCCAACTTGATAAGTTTTATAAATACATATATGTTTAAATTGATGTTAAGCATTTTTTGTAATTTATTTCAAATATATGAATTTACATTTCCTGGAAATGTTATATAAGCTTTATACTTTAAAGTTAAAGGCTTGTTGTAAACTTGATCCCACTATCAGTAACTGCTTTTGGAATAATTGCTAAGAGCATAAACATGTGAAATTCCCTACATTGACAGTAGCACCCCACTGTTACTATTTGAAGCCCCGACTTAATGGAGTTAAAATACTTTTCATACTAGGGTTTCAAATTACTCATTCTTTAAAGTGAAAAAATAATTTTTAATTGTTTTACATCATTCACTTGGTCACAATCTAATTTTTTTATATTTTGATCAAAATTTAATTATAATAAAATAAACAGAGTTTAAAGAATTGAGTTGTTATGATCTCAATTATTCAAGGTGATGCAAGCTTAACCTAGTGGCAACCTGTTTCAAAGCAAAGTATAATGCACACAAAGCAGAAAAGAGAGAGCAGAGAAAAAGAAAGGAAAAATTCTAGACTCTTTTAAAAATGTTATTTAGAACTAGATATTACAAAAAATGCTTCTTTTTTTTAAAAACATTGAAATGCAAATATTACAAGAGACAATAAAAACTCTTTATTAATTTTAATTATCATTTTATATTCTAGGCTTTGAAATATGTTTTAAAGATTGTTTACAAATGGCTAGCTCCTCCCAGTTTCTGATGTCAAGGTCTGTTTTCTTGAGGTACGTTTGTGCAATGATCTCACCACTTTATCCAAAGGATATAATGAAGACATCATTAATGGTACTTCTCAAGGCACTTAAGATGTTAATGATAAGTCATCCATGTTTCACATCTGTAAAGAACTGTGAAGATAATGACTGCTTTGTAAACCTGAATCTTGGTGTCCTTGCAGATATTGTGATCAATGAAAACATGCCAAAAGAGTTTCCCGAAAAAGGCACTTGCACATCAGATTCTGTGCTGAATCTCCATGTGCCAAGGTTAAGTAGGCTTCTGCAAAGAGATTCAGCAGTCTGATGGTCTTCCTCAGATTGTGTAAGGATGATACAGTCTTCAGATTTCCTTGTCACACTCAACTCTGCCCTCATTTATTTCTTTTAGTGCGATTATTGAACATGGGTACAGTGTTTGTAATGCCATGTTAACTTATTTTGCAGGGGCATATGTTCCTGCTACCTTATATTGCACTTTGTGATGTTTTATGTAATTTAACAAGAGTTACAGCATAAAATTTGAATTGAACTTTTGTAAAATGGTTTAGTAGTATTAAGAATCATTATGGTCCTCCAGTTTTCACCAAAAATGTTTAGAGACTGAAGTCATATGCATACCATGGAAATTAATTTTGAGTTATCTTCATTTTTCCACATCAAAATGAACTGTGCAGTGTGAAAATTATCAAACTTAAATACATTCTTCAATGACTTAGAATCAACTATTGCTTTCACCTTTATTTTTGAATAACAATCCTCTTATAAAAGAGAATTGGTAGGTATGGATTTTCAAATGGTTAGGTTATATTGGGTAATCTTATTCTGATGTAGATGCAGGAACAAGCTACTTGCAAAATCTTGAAAACTTTTAAAGTATGGTTATCTTATGAAGAAAACACCTTATTGCATTGGTTAGTTTTTTTTTTCAATCTTATGCCTCTAAAAAACTTTCAAATATTATACTATTTATAAAAACTTAATGCCTGGAGGATTTGACACCAGTATTTGTCTTAAACTTACACATATGAAAAACATTTTTTTAAGGTATTAGTAAACTAAGGTGGTTGGCCACTTTCTCAGGACTTACGTACCATTTCAGATGTAAGCCTGACTTGACATGCAGATGCAAATTAAATCGATCACTTGACGTGTCCGGTGATTGTTGCATCATTATAAATGATTGTGAGAAGCACATTTGTAGTCAGTGTAATATATATATGGGAAAAGGCAAATGTATTGTTGCATTTATTGAGTGCATGACTAGTAGATGCCATGGTGGCCAAGACAGTTTCATTAGTTGGCTGTACTAAGACATTGGTCATTTGAATTTATTAGCAATAGAAAAAAGGTGAATAAAATCTCTGTCATGAGGGAAACTGTGACTACAAACAAGTAGTGACAGAAAAAGGAGAAAGGCAGTGAGACAAATGGTAAAATACAACTGTCATCAAATAATACACCAACTGGCAGACATTCAGTGCAGGCCATT